CTCATCGAGATAACAGATGATGAAAGGATCGAATTATACGGTAACCTATCGTTGACAGGTAGCTACTTTGCTGAATCCGAATCTATTGGGTGGCCATGATGCCTTGCTAGGGGCCAATCTTGGTTTATGTTTAGTGAGACGATTAATTGGTGTTAATCGCAATACTACACACTGCCGGTAAGATGAGGAGCCTATGGGTCACACACACAGAAGATAATTTAAGAGCCGGAAAGAAAGAAGGGCATTTTTGTCTTTTTAGGCGAAAGGGTATTTTGGTAATTTCACAGTGCAATTAAATTTGCTGAGGTCGTAGCCTTTATTTAATTTGTTAGAAAAATTAAATAAGCGGAGAGTTAGTTTAAATATGTGTTTGCATATATTTAAATAAATTATCATTATTGTTAAATGTTAATATATATATTAATTGATTTTAATTGAGATAATGATAAACAAAATTAAAATATCTAAATGGGAGCGTTTGAAAACAAGGGGTGTTTGGGTTGGAGCCCAAGCCTATTCCATAAGGGAATAAGGCAATTAAACTTGCACTATAAAAGAAAAGGTTTAATTGAGAGAAAGAAGGATTTTTTTATTATTTCATTTCATTGAAAAGAAAAGCTACAGCCCCTTGAAAACACTCTCACGCCAGGTTTGGGTTTTGGTTTTAAATCAAATACACTTCATTTTTCTTCTTTGTTCTTAAGGCTAAAGAAGATCTAGCAAATCCCTCTTTAGTTCCTTGTGATTATCTTCGAGTGTACTACATTGGTTCGATCCTACACTTGGGTCGGTAGCAAAATACGTTTAGAGACAAAGTTGGAGGAGCCTCCAAACGTGCGTATGATTTCTTAAACTCTAAATCAATTTTCTACAGATTCTTGTTTTTATATAAACTATAAATTTGTGCCCTGATCTTGGTTCTATGGAACGATCCGTGTTGTTATTGATTTTTGTTTTCTGCTGCCCCAATGGATCATTTCCTAACAGTGGTATTAGAGCCTAAGGTACCAGATTTTACAGTTTTATATGGATGGTTGATTACATGTTTTTTATTGATGATATGTTGCCTTAAAGAATCTACGTAAAATCTATTTTAAAAGCATGTTTTAAGAAATCAATTAATCGATTAATTTTAATTTGTTGATGATCTGCAAGTTTGGTATATTGGGTTATGGATTTTTGTTGAAATCAGTGTTTATGATTGATTGCAAAATCCGTTTGGTGTGTTTTTGTGACTGCTTGAACTGATCTGAAGCTACAGATCAGTGTACGCTTGCCATAGCAATATAACCCATCGTCGCGGCGTGCGTGTTTGGCTATCACGTTGATTGCTAATTAGCACTCGCCGTGGCGATATAAACCATCGCCGCGAGCGCTGATTTCGTATAGCGTTCGTCCTAAGGACGATCGCCGTGGCGATGGCTTATATCGCCACGGCGGCGATCTCACGTTAAACGTGAACATCAAGTTAATCACCGCACGCTGCGACGATATAACTCATCGCCCCAGCGAGCGCACTTCCGAGTACGTAGGGACCAGATTGTAAAGTTTTAAAACTTTTAGACCAAATTACAGATCTGTAAATTGTCAGGGGCTAATTAATAATTAACCCACCAATTTCAAAATTTTGATTGTTTTTGAAATGTATGTTATGTACTTGTTTGTATATTGCATGGTGCCCGGTACATGAGCCTTAGACCTATGGTGAATGTTTTAAATTTTGTTGGGTATGTATGGTTGTAATTTATTAAATAGAGCCTACGTGTCTTGCCTTTCTCCTCTTCTCAATGTACATTCTCTTCTCATCTCATTCCCCTCGAATGCAAATCGAGGTTTCTAAATTTATTGATGCAAAGAATTTTGTATAATTATTCTTATTGTAAATTTAGAATGATGTTTTTGTAATGTACTTAAAGACGGAGCAAAGGACGAGGCAACCATACTTGAAGACTCAAGATATTTATTACAGGACCCCTAGGTGACCCACCAATTCCTCTAGGCTCGAGGAAATCGGTTTTAGTTGGGCCATGTACCGGCATGTTTTAATATTTTGTTTAGAATGCATGATAAGGTTGAATGTTCAATAACATGCCAAACAATGTCATTCTAACAAAGATAATAATCTGGTGAGACATTAAATAACAAACCCTCAATTAAAGGATATTAAGTCACGTAAGCCTTCCATCACAATGGTTTTAATCAAACCACTGTTCGTCGAAAGCTTGTTTGCCAAAGCAAAGGGTAAACTTCCACTAGTGGGAGGTTAAAATGCATTGGAGTTTTCCTTAATGGTGATAGGTTGACTTAAAATGACGGTTTTGCTTGTTCACCAAAGCAAAGGTTGATAAACGCGTCATAGGCATAGTAAAGCAGTACACATATTGTGTGTACGTGGAGGCATGTAGTGTCCACTCTACTGATACTAAGAATCACACTTGAGGACGATGGCATGTAGTGTCCATTGGATTGTGTGATTGGCTTGTTGGCTTTTTTACATTTGAGGTTGATAGTAGGAGCTATCAACTGGTATGGATTAAGTTTGTTAGCCTACCTAATCAACTCATTTTGGCTTGTTCACCAAAGTGAAGGTTTGAAATGGGCCGGATAATTCTGAAGTAAGGGCACAGATAATACGGTAAGGCTATCATAGTGTTGAACGACCCTGTCGAAAGGCAGTGACTGATCTCACTTGTCAAGGTTGTTTGGTGACAACCTGGTGCAACACATGGGTGCTTGCTGTAGGCGATTACACCGCAGCAAGTTCACTGGACTGACCCACCAGAGGATTCCATATGGATGGTAACCCCAGTGTCTATGGAACAAATCCTCTAACGAATGGTGGTGCATGTGATCCTTAGACTTGAGATCACTGGAGCGCCTTGTGTACCGATTGGTGTAGTTTGACACTAGCCTAACGCAGTTCTTTTTAGAGCTGTCAATACAATGGTGATTGACTGTATCAAGGAGTGTATCAAGACTATGGTGGATTGACACAGGATTCATCACTCCCGGGTACGGGAGAAGTTATCTCATGGCGCAATTCAGTATATGGCAATGGCATTAAAACTGTGGCCACAGTGGGATTGAGTTGTTGCTTTATCCAGTTTATAATACGGGTCATTGGTCTAGAAACTGAATACATAATATCGAGAGTAACCAAAGGTTGACACTATTTCTATGCCTTCGTCTCGTCGAGATAACAGATGATGAAAGGATCGAATTGCACGATAACCATATCGTTGATAGGTAGCTATTTTGCTGAATCCGAATCTATTGGGTGGCCATGATGCCTTGCTAGGGGCCAATCTTGGTCTGTGTATTAGTGAGACGATTAATTGGTGTTAATCGCGATACTATACACTGCCAGTATGATGAGGAGCCTATGGGTCACACACATAAAAGATAATTTGTTTGAAACCTTTTGCTACCAGCCGTGCTTTATAGGTTCGAACATTTCCATCCATGTCAGTTTTCTTCTAGAAGACCCATTTACTCCTTATGGGTTTGACTCCTTCGGGTGGATCCACCAGAACCCATACTTGGATATAGTATGTGGAGTCTATTTCAGATTTCATAGCATTAAGCCATTTTGTAGAATCTGGATTCGACAAAGCATTGTTGTAGGTTCTAGGCTCATCGTCTTAATAGACCAATACATCGCCATTTTGAGTCACGAGAAAACCATACCTCTCGGGCTCACGACATATTCTGCCAAACCTATGCGACTCTTGTGTTGGAGGTTCACTTTGTTGCACTCTTTGTGGAGCGATCCCCTCATGATGCTCAACAATCTCTGATGACACATCATCTTGTCCATTGTTTGGTCCATCTTGTGGCCTTAGAACGTCATTGAGTTCTGCCTTTCTTACACTATCTTCTCTTTGAAGGAAATTCTTTTCTAAGAAGACTCCAGTTCGACCAATGAAAATTTTCTACTTAGTTGGATTTTAGAAGTAGTATCCCTTGTCTATTTAAGATACCCCATAAAGATACATTTCTCTGACTTTGAGACAAGCTTATTTGAAGTCAATTTCTTGACATAAGTGTCACTATCCCAAACTCTTAGATGAGACAAAATGGGTTTTCACCCATTCCATATTGCATATGGTGTCTTATCCACTGATTTTGATGGTACACGATTTAGTGTATATGTCATAGCCAAAAAGGCATAGCCCTATAACGATGTGGGTAAATCTATGAAACTCATCATTGATCGAACCATATCCAACAAGGTTCGATTCCTCCTCTCAAACACTCCATTGTGCTAAGGTGTGTGAGATATAATCCCACATTCCTTAAGGTATGCATCAAACTCTGAGCTTAAGTATTCTCTTTCCCTGTCAAATCGAAGAACCTTGATAGTCTTGCCTAGTTGATTTTGTACTTCTTTCTTGAATTTTTTCAACTTGTTAAAGGATTCAGACTTATGTCTCATTAAGTAGACATATCCAAATCTATTGAGGTCATCAGCAAACGTGATGAAGTAAGAATATCCACCCCTGGCTTGTATTGATAGTAGTCCACATACATCACTATGGATGATGCCTAACAATTCCTTTGCCCTTTCACCATGTCTAGTAAAAGGTGACTTGGTCATTTTGCCTACTAGACATGTCTTCCATACCTCATAAGACTTGAAGTCAAATAGGTCGAAAACTTCGTCCTTATGGAGTTTTGCTATGCGAGTCTGGTTCACATGACCAAGCCTACAATGCAATAGGTAAGTTTGATTAAAGCCATCAACCTTGGCTTTCTTATTTTCTAGATTGAAAATCTCATTATTATTATTAATTCTAGAACATTCAAACCATTATGTAATCTTGTAATTCCATATTAAATACCATTCAAACAAATTGACATCAATCCATTAGTTATCATAAATTGATATCCAACGTTGTCCAAAGTGGACACAGAAATAATATTCTTTGAAATTGAAGGAACATAAAAACAATTTAAAAGTTCTAGTTTAAGGCTCAAAGGAAAACATAAATAATAATCTCTTACGGCGAATGTAGCAACACGTGCTCCATTCCCAACTTGTAGGTCCACCTTTCCTCGACTGAGTAGTCTACTCCGTCGTAGTCCCTACATAAAAGTGCAAATATGAGAACCATATCCTATGTCAATAACCTAAGATGTAACAAGAGATACATTGATTTTAGTCATGTACATACCTTTAGAAGAAGACGTAGGCTTCTTCTTCTTGCTTGCTTGCTAGGAAGGCCTTGCAATGTTTTTTCCAGTGACCAGGCTTGCCACAATGGAAGCAAACAACCTTTCCATCTTTGCTAATGCCTCCAATAGGTTTAAGGACATCTTGAGGTTGAGCTTTGGGTTTGCCCTTGGCATTTCCTTTGCCTTGCTTCCCTTTTCCTTTCCATGGTGTAGTATCAACTAGCATCACTAACTTGGACTTCTTCATGTCCTTCTCTACTGTCTTCAGCATATTCAAGAGCTCTGAGAGAGACTTCTCTATAGAATTCATATTGAAGTTCATTATGAATTGGGAGAAAGAATTCGGCAAGGATTGTAGAACAAGATCTATTGATAGTTTAGCCTCCATACCAAATCCCAGTATTTCAAGCTTATGTATATAGCCAATCATCTTGACTACATGTTGGCCTACTAGGGTTCCCTTAGTCATTTGGCATCTATATAAAGCCTTTGAAATGTCATAACATTCATACCTACCACGCTTCTGAAATAGCTCTTTGAGATGTGTGATGATGGAGAAATTCTCATGTTGCTCTTGCAGATCAGGTGTCAACGATGCAAGTACAATACACTGTACAATATCAACATTGTCCATATACTTTCTATAAGCATTTATAGCTTCCTGAGTAGCTTTAGGTTCAAGCGCTTCCATAACAGGTTCATCTAGGATGTACAACTTCTTTTCTGACTTGAGTATAACCTGAAGATTTCTATACTAGCTAGTGAAGTTTGTACCATTGAACCTATTTTCTTTTTCAATGATTGATCGCAGTGACAAATTATTAGTAGTCATAATGTAAATCTACAAGTACAAATTAAACATAGTTAATAATCTTTTATTAATTAATAAGGCCTTTTATCAATTTATATACTCCTATTATTTTTTATTTCAAGTTAATAACCCTCACTATTAAACTCTGGAACGTCCATCAATCTTCGTAGTGGGCCGGAATCCCATCATTCCTAATTTGACCTCTCACGGGGGCAAGTAGACCAAAGTAAGATGAGTAGGTAGGCCATAAGCTCTAGCTTACACCATTTAATAGCACCAACTTATTAAACTCAAATGTAAGTATTGCAGACAAACTAATTACACAATCCAATGGCACTAACCCTTGGCCTCAAGTGTAACTTTTGCATCGATGAGTTTGGACACTACATGGCCACTCGTGCATTTCAAATATGCATTACTCTACCATGCCTCTAGTTGTACTTATCAACCCTTCGCAAAGGCGAATCTAGCAAAGTACACCTAGTTAAGACATAACCTATCACCATTAAGGAAAAAATCCAATGATGATTAACCTCTTAAAGGTAGAAGTGGCTCCCTGCAGGGGCAAGTGAGACCACGATGAACGATGGTTTGATTAATCCCATGGGATGGAAGGCTCGATTCATTTTTTACTTAATATCTTTTATGAAGGATTCATGCTTTAATCTCACCATTTTATTATCTTATTTAGCATGTTATCGTTTGGCGTTCAACCTTAGCATGCTTCTACAAACAAGACACTCCATAAACTCATGTTGGTACATGGCCATTCTAACACCAATTTCCTTGAGCTTAGAGGAAGTTGGTAGGTCACCCAAGGTTTATTATTCTACTGCAAAGAATAAAACATCTTCGGGATTCGTCACGCCTTTGCCTCATCTTCAAAGCTTATTCTGCTTTACAAATAAATTTAAAGAAACCTTGAGTTACATTCAAGGGGATTTAGATGAGAAGAGAACTTAAATTGAAGAATGGGTAGTAAGGCAAGACACGCAGGCCCTATTTAAAACAAACAAATCCAAAATAATAAATCCAAGGTCTATGGCCGAATACCAAACACCATGCATAATAGACACCAATCATAGAATGCATAAATTCAAATTTACCATATTTGAATTGGCGGGTAAATTTCTCTTTACCTTTTTAATTTTGCAGAGGTTTTATTGGTCCCTAAACTTTTTAAAATTAAAGTTTAGTCCATATCTAGTTTGAAAAATGACTAAACAGTCTAGAATAGCGACAACTTATTCTTTTATTGATAGCTAAACTCAAAATGCTTTTCTCCATTCCCTAAAATACCCTTATGTCATGGCAACGTGATAAGTTCTTTTCAACCCTCTAAATCCCACATGAAAGATCACGGGGTTTATCCTCATGGATAGTAACAACCATTAAACCCTAGTAGCCCAAAATCAGCCACTCCTACTAGGCCCATGCACGTAATGCGAGGTCCATAAGTTTCAGGTAGCTAGGCACTAACTTGTCTTGCTGTGGCAAGGTATTGTCGCGTGCTTGCATGTGTGGCATTAGGGCAAATCCATGCACAAGTTTACGGTGATGCAGTAGTGTGCCGTGTGCGGTAGTTGGGACAGCCATGTGCTTGTGCGCCAAGGCATAATGTGCTGTGAGGCGTATACCCTCGAATGAGGGCCAACCGTGCATGAAGGCATGGCCAAGGGCCCTTGGGGCTACCTGGTGGTGCGCAACAATGCACAACCAGGTGTAGCAGTATACAACAACACGCAGTAGGAAGGACTATTACGCACGCCAATACGTAGTAAGAGGCAGGGCTACCACGTGCACCAGAGTGCAGTAGAAGAGACAGGTTACCCTAGGGCTATGCACTGACTCACAGGCCTGTTTGAGTGGCTGTGTGCAGCCACGCACAACCATGGTCGTGCACAATCGAGGAGGGTTGCACGCACCAATGCGCAACCATGGACAACGGTTGCGCACAATAGCACGCAACCCACAAAATTTAGCCACCAAATTAGGGTATTTGCAAACCCTATTCCAACCAATCTACAAGAAACTGATCAACACAATTAAATCCAAAAACATTAGGTTTAAAATTAAAATTAAAAACCTATACATGCCAATATAGCACCTAATCACATACATGCAATTAATAGCCGAATCGAAGCTCTAATATCACTTGTAGAACCAAGTCATGGCAAGCGCGGAATTACAATAGAATTTTTTGCCATGGCATGATTCCATTACCCAAGATCACGATTCAAACTAAATAATCAACATATAAAATTTGACCCATACAAGGTTATGTGATTTACCTCCATTGGCGGCTCCTCCTTTAGATCTTTCAAACTAGTCGCTATCAATCCAACATAGGATTGAGTCCATTGGTATCCACACGAAGGTAGGTTCGGGGTCACCCTAGGATTGATTGCTAGATCAATCGGAGGGCTTAAGGGAAGTGGCAAAATTTAGAGAGAGAATTTCTCTCTCTAGGGTTGGCGGCTAGGGTTTTTGGGAGAGTTAATTTTGCTATTTAATTTGCAAAATTAACTCTATGATTATAGCTCTCTTAAATCAAAACCCAATGACCCTTTATATAGACAATCCCAAATAAGAATCCAATAAGGATTGTAAGTCCTTAATTCCTATTTGGATTGGATTACGATTCTTTTAATTCCTATTTGAATTGAATTGCAATCCTTGATATAAGGGATTAGAATATCTCTTAATCATATTATCATAAAATATTAATCCTAATTAAATAAATATTCCTATATATTTAATTCCTATATAAATACATATTCTAATTAAATAAATATTATTATTTATTTAATCCACAATATTTGTATATATATTTAATTTAATTAAATATATATTGTGCATATTAATTAAAATTAATATGATTCCAAATTTGCTAAAATTTCTCCCAATAAATTGCATAATGGCGTCAACCTCTTAGCAAAATTACCAAAGTGCCCTTTTCGCCCATAATGATGAAAATGTCCCTGGACTCCCAAATTACCGAAACACCCTTTCAGCCCAAGGACAAGATTGTCCTCCCATTTCCGTTTCTCACTTAACTACCTTTTATGTGTGTAGTAACTCTTTCTAGCTAGTATACTTGGGAAATATAATATGATAAAAACACATATGCATATAAGTGAAAAATAATGGGCCCGAAAATTTTCGTTACTTTAGATATTAAATTCTTTACATAACAAAAGTATCATATACATTAGCTTAAAAAACAATGGACAGTAGTCCCATTTCTCTTCGCTTCTCGACGTACATCCGACCACTTCTCACCTATCCCCTACAAAAACATTTAGAAACAACGGGGTGAGCACTAGTTGCTCAGTAAGTAAATCCGCTACACTATTCTTCTATCTCTGTTACTCATAATCCGAGTCTTCTTCTCGGTTCTTTCTTTGCTCTTCCTCTATTATTTCACTATTTCTAGTTCTCACTGTTCTTTATTTCTAGTTCTTTCTGTTCTTTCTTTATTCTAACTTCTCACTACCCATGATAGTAATCATGTTATCATGCATAGGTATGATGCAAATGCACACATGCATAAGAACGCATTTTCTTTCTACTTTTCTATTTCTTATTTTTGTTTTCTTTCTCTTTTCTATGTTTCTTTCTTTCTGTTCTATTATTTCTTTCCTCTTTTCTGTTCTCTTCTTTTCTTTTCTTCTTCTTTTCTTTCTTATTCTTTGCCGATCGGACTCAGTTAATGCATGGATTCGGAACCCTGGTTGTGTGAGTGAGTACAGTCCTCATCTACATGCACTCTTACGGATTGTACGAATTCTCTTTCTTCTTAGGCCACTCATTAAAGGCGGCGTCCATGTAGGTATATTCTTCTGGGTACAACCCTCATCCACATGCACTCTTACGAGCCATACAATTTCTTCTTCTTATTCTTAGGCCGCTCACTGAAGGCGGCGTGCATGTGGGAATATCATCTTGTCACCCACGGGTTCCCTATCGCAACAACCTTTCTTTTCTTTTCTTTAGCACTTTTTTTCTTTCTCTTTGTTCTTTAGTGCTTTTCTTTCTTTCTCTTTATTCTTTAGTGTGCTTGTATGCATGTAGATGGATTCTTTTTATTATTCTTTCTCAATTCTTAATTAAATGCAAAGATGCAATATGGCATGTAAACATGTCAATCTCTACTTTCTCTACCATCTACAAACTCATTTCAAATTATTATACTATCATAACCATATATGCACTTCACTTTGGAATTTCATCAAACAAGTGGTATGCACAAATAAGCACTAAATTAACTACTCTTCTATCTTTTTTTCTAGCTACCAAAATTGCCACACAATTCTCAACAATTAATCTCAAACCTGGCCAGGAAATTCACACTTCAAAATTCTATTTCAACTTCTATATAATTTCTTCAAACTTCCACCAATTCTTCTCATACTAAACACTACTTCTCATGGCGGAGTTCAACGCAACACTCAATATCCATTTCATCATCAATTCCATCAAAAAAACTCAACACTCAAGTATATAAAATACATATAGGGAAATTCTCTACTCAAGGATTGCTTAAATCAAGGGCTAAGGTTGGATTTACTTACCTTGAACTTGAGTACTTCCACTTGAATCTCCTTCTCTTTGGTAGACTTCCTCTTTCTCTAAAATCCTAGGCATATAAACTATAAGAACTCAACACTTTAAAAAAAAAAAATTTATCTCACATCTATTTACAAGAATGCTTACCTTTGGATGCTTAGGATTGAATCTCTACCAAAAGTCCTCTAGAATACCTTGAAAGTTAGTGAAGCAAATTGAGAGAATTGAAGATGAGAGTGGCATGTGAGGTGTAGAGAATGATAGGTTTTATATGCTTGAATCCTTAATATCTCATATTAATATGCATACTT